ACATTACAGAGAGTGAATTAAAACATTACAGAGAATGAAATAAAAAGATTACAGAGTGAATTAAAGACAACTTTACAGAGAGTGAGTTAAGAAATGAGCTGACGTTTCGTCCAGCGCGAGAGTTTGTGAAGACTCACTGCTGCAGCCTGACTGCATTTATACAACGTTCAAAAAATCACATCTGACCTGTTCATGTTCAAAAGAGAAAGATTTTCATCTCCTTAAAAAGCTACTAAAAACTGAAAATAATCCTTTATATTATATAGAATATACTGTGCGTGCCATGTTTTTTAAATTGTTTTTATTTTTTTATTTGTATAAATCAACGACTGGTCAAAAGTGGGAAAAATAAATATATTTATACTGTTTTTAAAAATCTTTGTAAAAATAAATTGCAGAAATTATAACTGTGGTTTTATCTATTTAATATTATAGCACCATATGGATTTACAAGGTTAGTGTGGCCCCCGGAGGACTTTTTTAAGCTTTAAATAGCCCCTGAGAGATAATACAGTTCCTTTCTCCAGTGTTGCATTGTTAAGTTTTAAATAAATACATTTTAATGTTGTGTGTTTTTCAAAATCAGCTTCAAGTAGGAGTTATTTTAATTATTGTTTTCCTAATGAAATAATTTGTCTTAGAAACAATTGACCACTATGCTATTATAATTTTGAAAACAAAAAACCTTCAGTGATACCTGGCTGATACCATAGTTTCATACGGGAAGAAATTAAATTTAACTCAGGTTGTTTTATAATTTAAGTTTTATTTATGCTCTCAAACGTCATTTTAGTTTCATGAATATATTTTTTAATCATAGTCACACATTACAGTTGTTACTGTTAGTATTTGTCTTAATATAATACTTAGAGCTGACACCGTCATGTCATTTACATATTTTTAATGTTGTTCACTGGCTGCCATAAATTCTATTTTCTTGAAAACTCAACTCTTATAATGCCTTTCAAATAGGCTGTGAAGTATTTATTATTATTATTATTATTATTATTATTATTTAAAAAGTAGAGTGAATCCAGGAAGTGGAAAACCCTAGCCTAAATGTTTGATGCGTTCTGTAGCAGCACATGGAGGAAGCTGGCTATGAGTTCCAGAAGAAGAGACAGATGATTCTAAAGAAAGCCCGCTTTGAGGCCCAGCTTGCATGCCGGCAGCATGAATGGCACATGTCACTGAAGGTAAACGTAGCAGCAGACCTTAGGATGTGTCCATCATAGTCAGCTGTTCTCAGCCATGCCTACCTGTGGACTCATGTGTGTCTGTTTGCTGTGGTGCATTATTTAACAGAGCTTTTCACATGTGTCATCTGGCAGCTTTGTTACACATGTGAAAAGAATGGGAACATGTGTTTCTGTACATTCTCCCAAATTTTCATCACTCTGCATTCTTTATTTCTCTTGATTTGGAGATAACTAAGCTTCTGTCAGTGACCAGTGGAGAAACTAGCAGCAGAAGAGCATGTAAAGAGTTGACTCTAGAGATGCCTGAGAGAAATTACTCCCTTTTTTTTTCTAATAAACATTGCAATATATTGCCGTTTTAGTTTGACCTTTAAAAAATGGCTACCATCTCATACTATGGCAGATTTACTGTTGCTTAGAGTGATCATAGTGATCTTTTCATTTGACATAGATTTACAGTATGTACTGTATATGTATTTATTGGAGCTGTGCTTTCCAAACTCTTGAGCTTTTGATTCATAAAATAAAAGTAGCAGTGGCTAGTGATTCCAATTGACTGGGTTAAATACACAAACATTGTTATCTCTCTGTAGCAGATGAGCTAAACACGCTATTAGCAATTGCCTTTGAAGATCATTTGCTTTCTGTAGAACTTCTCAAGACCTCTCATTTGGTTTTTCATGACCCCCTATCAGATCCTGACCCAAATTTTTTGACTGTCTATGTAGTTTCCGTTTCAGACAGCAATATCTGAGTAAAGGAATATTTACGCAAATAGCTGGGTCTTATGTTAGTCAAGAAGATTTTCCTTGTTTTGCTGTTCTACTTAAGACCCCTTCGCTCTGGGTCATTACCCTGCTCATCACAACCTCAGCCTATCAGCACATGCTGGATCACAGCAAATTTGAAATAGATATAGTTGGGCTCACCTCAACGCACAGCATGGGCTCTGGAACCAATCTCCTCGAGAGGGGCTGGACCTTATTCCACTCTGGAGTTGCCCATGGTGAGAAGCATCGAGCTGGTGTGGGTCTACTTGTAGCCCCCCGACTTGGTGCCTGTGTGTTGGAGTTTTCCCCGGTAGATGAGAGGGTGACTTCCCTTCGCCTTCGGGTGGGGGGACAGGCTCTGACTGTTGTTTGTGCCTATGCGCTGAACTGCAGTTCAGAGTATCCAGCCTTCTTGGAGTCCTTGGCAGAGGTGCTAGAAGGTGTGCCAGCTGGGGACTCCTTTATTCTGCTGGGGGACTTCAGTGCCCATGCGGGTAATAACAGTGTGACCTGGAGGGGCATGATTGGGAGGAACGGCCTCTCTGATCTGAACCCGAGCAGTGTTCTGTTGTTGGACTTCTGTGCTAGTCATAGTTTGTACATCACGAACACCATATTCGAACTTAAGGGTGTCCATAAGTGCACTTGGCACCAGGACGCCCTAGGTCGTAGATCAATGATTGACTTCATAGTCGTGTCATCTGATTTGCGGGAGTTTATTTTGGACACTCAGGTGAAGAGTGGAGCTGAGCTGTCAACTGATCACCACCTGGTAGAGAGTTGGATCCAATGGTGGGGGAAGATGCCTGACAGACCCGGTAGACCCAAACGTGTAGTGAGGGTTTGCTGGAAACACCTGGCAGAAGAACCTGTCAGAGAGATCTTCAACTCACACCTCTGGGAGAGCTTTAACCGCATCCCAGTTGAGGTGGGGGACATTGAGTCCGAGTGGGCCATGTTCTGCGCCTCGCTTGTTGAGGTAGCTGCCTTGAGCTGTGGCTGCAAGGTTGTTGGTGCTTCTTGCTGTGGCTATCCATAAACTCAGTGGTGGACACCCCGGATTAGGGAGGCTGTCAAGCTGAAGAAAGAAGGAGTCCTATTGGGCCTTGTTGGCCATTGGGACTCTGGAGGCAGCTGAGGAGTACCGGAAGGCCAAGCTGTGTGCAGCCTTGGCTGTTGCTGAGGCAAAAGCTCGGCTGTGGGAGGAGTTTGGTGAGACTCCCGGTCAGCTCTGAGGAGATTCTGGCAAACCATCAGGCTGCTGTGGAGGTGAAAGCAGCACTTTACTAAAACTGTGTTCAGTGAAGGTGGGGAGCTGTTGATCTCAACCAGTGATGTCATCGGGAGGTGGAAAGAATACTTCTCTGACCTTCTCAATCCCACTAGCACATCTTCCAAGGAGGAAGCTGAGTTGGGGGACTTTAGCGTTGATCCATCCATAATTGTGGCTGAGGTTGCCGAGGTAAAGTTGCGAAAGTATTCGGCCCCCTAGTTAAAAAGCTCAGAGGCGGCAGGTCTCTGGGAGTGGATGAGATTCTCCATGATTTCCTTAAGGCTCTGGATGTTGTGGGGCTGTCTTGGCTGACATGTCTTTGCAATGCCGTGTGGACATCAGCGGCAGTGCCACTGGACTGACAGAATTGGGTGGTGGTTCCCCTCTTCAAAAAGTGGGACCGGAGGTTGGGCTCCAATTATAGAGGCATCACTCTCCTTAGCCTCCCTGGTAAGGTCTATTCAGGGGTACTGGAGAAGCGAGTCCGATCGTTGGTCGAACCTCAAATCCAGGAGGAACAATGTGGGTTCCGTCCTAGCCGTAGACGACTGGATAAGCTCTTTACCCTCACTAGGGTCCTTGAGGGGTCACGGGAGTTTGGCCATCCAGTCTATATGCGTTTTGTGGACTTGGAGAAGGCATCTGACCGTGTTCCTGGGGGTACACTGTGGGGGGTGCTCCATTCGTATGAGATTGGAAACACGTTGTTACGGGCTGTTCAGTCCCTATACAAGTGGTGCGAGAGTTTGGTTTGCATTGCCTGCAGTAAGTCGGACCCCTTCAGGGTGGGAGTTGGACTCCGCCAGGGCTGCCCGTTGTCACAGATTCTGTTCATAACTTTTATGGACAGAATTTCTCGGTGCGGCCAGCTGTCGGAGAGTTTCTGGTTTGATGGCCTCAGGATTCCATCTCTGCTCTTTGCAGATGATGTGATCCTGTTGGCATCATCATGCCATGATCTTCAGCTCTCACTGGAGCGGTTCGCAGCTGAGTGTGAAGTGGCTGGGATGAGAATCAGCACCTCCAAATCTGAAGCCATGGTCCTCAACCGGAAAAGGGTGTATTGCTCTCTTCAGGACGAAGGTGAGGTTCTGCCTCAAGTGGAGGAGTTCAAGTATCTTGGGATTTTGTTCACTAGTGAGGGAAGAATGGAGTGTGAGATTGACAGACGAATTGGTGCATCTTCTGCAGTATTGCAGATTCTGTACCGGTTTGTTGTGGTGAAGAGAGAGCTGCGCTGTAAGGCAAAGCTATCTATTTACCGGTCGGTCTACGTTCCTACCCTCACCTATGGTCACGAGCTCTGGGTAGTGACCTAAAGAATGAGATCGTGGATACAGGCAATTGAAATGAGTTTTCTCCGCAGGGTAGCTGGACTCTCCCTTAGAGACAGGATGAGTAGTTGAGTTATCCGGGAGAGACTCGGAGTAGAACCACTACTCCTTCACGTCGAGAGGAGCCAGTTGAGGTGGTTCGGGCATCCGGTAAGGATGCCCCCTGGGCGCCTCCCTAGGGAGGTGCTTCGGGCATGTACAGCTGGGAGGAGACTCTGGGGAAGACCCAGGACACGCTGGAGAGATTACAGTGCCTTGCGAAAGTATTCGGCCCCCTTGAACTTTTCAACCTTTTGCCACATTTCAGACTTCAAACATAAAGATATATAATTTAAATTTTTTGTGAAAAATCAACAACAAATGGGACACAGTCATGAAGTAGAATGAAATGTATTGGATGTGTCAAACTTTTTTAACAAATAAAAAACTGAAAAGTGGGACGTGCAATATTATTCGGTCCATTTACTTTCAGTGCAGCAAACTCACTCCAGACGTTCAGTGAGGATCTATGAATGATCCAGTGTTGTCCCAAATGACTGATGATGATAAATAGAATCCACCTGTGTGTAATCAAGTCTCCGTATAAATGCACCTGCTCTGTGATATTCTCAGGGTTCTGTTCAAAGAGCAGAGAGCATCATGAAGACCAAGGAACACACCAGGCAGGTCCGAGATATTGTTGTGGAGAATGCTGTGTTTTGGATACAAAAAGATTTCTCTAGCTTTAAACATCCCAAGGAGCACTGTGCAAGCAATCATATTGAAATGGAAGGAGTATCAGACCACTGCAAATCTACCAAGACCCGGCCGTCCCTCTAAACTTTCATCTTGAACAAGGAGAAGACTGATAGGAGATGCAGCCAAGAGGCCCATGATCACTCTGGATGAACTGCAGAGATCTACAGCTGAGGTGGGAGAGTCTGTCCATAGGACAACAATCAGTCGTACAGTGTACAAATCTGGCCTTTATGGAAGAGTGGCAAGAAGAAAGCCATTTCTCAAAGATATCCATAAAAAGTGTTGTTTAAAGTTTGTTACAAGTCACCTGGGAGACACCAAACATGTGGAAGAAGGTGCTCTGGTCAGATGAAACCAAAATCGAACTGTTTGGTCACAATGCAAAATGATATGTTTGGCGTAAAAGCAACACAGCTCATCACCCTGAACACACCATCCCCACTGTCAAACATGGTGGTGGCAGCATCATGGTTTGGGCCTGCTTTTCGTAAGCAGGGACAGGGAAGATGGTCAGAATTGATGGGAAGATGGATGGGGCCAAATACAGGACCATTCTGGAAGAAAACCTGTTTGAGTCTGCAAGAGACCTGAGACTGGGATGGAGATTTATCTTCCAACAAGACAATGATCCAAAACATAAAGACACATCTACAATGGAATGGTTCACAAATAAACGTATCCAGGTGTTGGAATGGCCAAGTCAAAGGCCAGACATGAGTCCAATCGAGAATCTGTGGAAAGAGCTGAAAACTGCTGTTCACAAACGCTCTCCATCCATCCTCACTGAGCTTGAGCTGTTTTGCAAGAAGAATGGGCAAGAATTTCAGTCTCTCCATGTGCAAAACTGATAGTGACATACCCCAAGAGACTTGCAGCTGTATTTGCAATAAAAGGCGGCGCTACAAAGTATTAACGCAAGGGGGCCGAATAATATTGCACGCCCCACTTTTCAGTTTTTTATTTGTTAAAAAAGTTTGACACATCCAATAAATTTCATTCCACTTCACGATTGTGTCCCACTTGTTGTTGATTCTTCACAAAAAAATTAAATTTTACATCTTTATGTTTGAAGCCTGAAATGTGGCAAAAGTTTGAAAAGTTCAAGGAGGCCGATTACTTTCGCAAGGCACTGTATGTCTCTCGTTTGGCCTGGGAACGCCTTGGAATCCTCCCAGAAGGGCTGGAAGAGGTGGCTGTGGAAAGAGATGTCTGGGCCTCCTTGCTCAAGCTGCTGCCCCCGCGACCTGACTTCGGAATAAGTGGAAGATAATGGATCGATGAATGGATGGATGGATAAACAGAGCTTTAAATCACATTCACGCACTCACAAGACACACATCAGAGGCAATGAGGTGTTTCGGTGACACTTCGATATGTGACTGCTTGTGGAATCAAATCAGTCATTACTGCATTATAGTGCATCTTATCATTGAAGGACAATGGTTTTTAATAACTCAGCCCCAGCTGTTCCATAAAATTATTATGATTACGTATTACTGTAGCGTTTTTGAATACCTACAGTGTATCCAGAACGTATTCACAGCACTTCACTTTTTCCACATTTTGTTGTTAAAGCCTTATTCCAAATTGTATTAAATTAATCTCCTTGTTCAAAATTCTAAGCACAATACCCCATTATGATAATGGGAAAATATTTTGAGGTTTTAGCAAATAAAATAAATAAATAAAAACCTAAGAAATCCCATTTACATAAGTATTCACAGACTTTGTTTAATACTTTGTTGATCAGCCTTTGGCCTCAGTCACAGCCTCCAGTCTTTTTGAATATGATGCTTCAAGCTGAGCACATCTTCTGTATCTTTAGACAGTTTGTCCCATTCTTCTTGGCAGTACTTCTCAAGTTCCATCAGATTGGATGGGAGATGTCTGTGCAGCCATTTTCAGATATCTCCAGAGATGTTCAATCAGATTCAAATCTGTACTCTGGCTTTGCCCCTCCAGGACCTTCACAGAGTGGTCCTGAAGCCACTCCAGGATCTTCACATAGTGATCCTGAAGCCACTCCAGGACCTTCACAGAGTGATCCTGAAGCCCCTCCTTTGAGATCTTGGCCATGTGCTTTGTGCCGTTCTCCTGCTGGAAAATGAATCGTCGGCCCAGTCTGAGGGTGCATTCACACCAACCCTGTTTAGTCCGCTTTAATTGAACTCTAGCCCATTTGCCTAGGAAGTCCGGTTCATTTGGGGAGGTGTGAATGCACCATCGAACTCTGTCATGGAACAAAAAGGCGAACTCTGGCCCAGGCTAAAACCTAGGTCTCGGTTCGGTAGAAGGAAACTCTAGCGCGGTTCGAGTACAGTGTGAATGCAATCAGACCGGGCACCACTCCGCCAGCAGTAAGTGGAACTACAACAAGAACAGGAAGTGGACTACAACACAGGGCATTCTGTTTAAATACCACCAAAACAAACGCGTGTTAACATTAGCGGGAGAAAATGGTTCCTGGTCAGATGTGGAGTGACGAGGAGATAAAGTCCCTCATACAAGTATGGTCAGACGAAAATATTTCACAGTTACTTGTTACAACTCTCAAGAACAACGAGGTTTACAGGCTAATTAGTTTGAAAATCGAGAAGTTGGGATTCCAGCGCACAGTTGAACAGTGCCGCAACAAGGTAAAAAACGTTGCCAACAATACATTAAAATACGTGACATGCTCAGGAAAAGTGTCAGTTCAGGAGACGCGAAGGACAAGTTTCCTTGGTACGATGAACTAGATGTTGTTCTTGGCACTCGACCCATGAGCAGCCCACAACATGTTCTGGAGTCCTACCAAGAAGAGACTCCGCCGCCATCCATCCTGGCACCGAGCGACTCCGAATCCACAGAGCAGGGTCAGGACTCAGAAAAAAGTGGTAAGTGGGTGACTATACTATGTAATAATGCCTGAGCATAACTATTTCAGTATTGACATTATGTTTCACTTTAAAATGAGCAGTTACATCTTGCCAGTTTGCGTTTATTTGCCACAATTTATTATAAATAGATAAGCAAATATGGATAATTCTAGTGCATAACTGTGGTAACGTGTATGTAACATTTTAATCATGCAGATAAAAGTGACACCGACTGTGAAGTTGAAGAGGCAGCCACCACAAGCTCCCTGCTGGATGAAAAAAGGGGCCAACCAAGGCTGGCTGTACCTGGGGCTCAGAAAAGAAAGAAAAAGACAAAGGCTAACAGGTTTGAGAAATTGTTTGAGAGCTACCTGGATGACCAGAGAAAGAGGGATGAGGATGAATGCAAAAGAATGAAGCAGGAGTCTGCGTCTTTTGAGAACTTCTTAAAAATGCAGCAGCAAGCTGAAGAAAGACATTTTCAGTTAATACAAGAGCTGCAGAGGGCCAACAGCCAGATGGTCTTTCAGATGATGTCTGCTTTTCTTCATGCTGCAACGCCCCAAACCATGACACCACCTACTACACAGCAGTGGATGCTTCCTACTCCAGTCAGGCCCCCATGGTGGCCCACTTCATCCTCTCACCAGTCCCCACACATACTCACCACCAGCACAATGTACCAACTACCTGCCACACTGCATCCTCTCACCAGTCCAAACCCCACAGGAGCAATACATGGCAGACACATCTCAGCATTCAACATCTTATGTTATAGGTGATGTCAACAAAGATATCTTTGATCTGTAGTTAATACAAGTGAAAATATCACAGTGAAGTATTTTGAATCTTTTATTCTTGTATTATCTGTATAAACAGTTTGAACAACTCAAATTAATGTTAGTCAATAGTACATATTATGTTAAAATGTTCAGAAGAATGTGTAACAAAAATGTTGAATGTTCAATAATGAACCTTTGTTACAATGTTGAAGTATTATTTGTTACAATAAAAAAAGTATGAACAAGTTGTCTTTTTCTTGCAAAACTGCAGCATATAAACACCTGTCAGATGCATAGATAAAAAAAAAAACCTCTTATTTTGAAATTTAATATCACAAAATCATGTTTAAAAATCTTTTTTCACATCGTCTTAATGTAGAGGAAAGAGAAGAATTCAATACAGTTTGGAATAAGGCTGTAACATAAAATGTGGAAAAAGTGAAGTGTTGTGAAGAGGCACCGTATATTTGAAAGGGCCTTCACAAGTCTGTCTAAATGTTCCAACATATAGCATTTCTTAGTTACCAGCATCAGTTCAGTGAAAAGACTAAAAAAAGACTTACAGCCTTTTTTTTTTCAGCAACATGACAGATTTCCATCCAGTGGAACTCCATGTTTGTCCAGCCCTCCATTCGGACTCAAGCCCCGCTCAGGTGAGTTGTAAAAAGTTTGTCAGTCTCTAAAGTATCAGGTCTGCTGATTAATATGGGCTTTTCTAAACGAGGCAAAAGTGGACTATTTATGTCAGGGTGCTATGGTTTATTTCATCTTGCTCAAGAACTTGGTTGAAACGGGCTAAGTGGTTTGATAACTTCATATTTAGTGTAAAGTAATCCCATACAAGCAGCTTTACAGCCACTGATTGATGCTTTATTAGAAGAATTATGACCAACTTAAGCTGAATGCTTCTTTTTTATTTAGTTTTTGTTTGCTAGCTGTACCAGTGTGTTGCTAACTGCTGATAAGGCTAACTTGATGCTAACAGCATGTCAGGGTGATGTTACATTGAGTGCCACTAATCTTGATTTTGTTTTGTGCTCTTGTATGTTTTTTCTTGTCATCTTGTTTGATTCCTCCTTCATGGTTGCCTTTTTTTTCTAAATATCCTGCATGACTTTAATATTGAATTCACAAACTCACTGAATTTGACCTGCCTGAACTTTTTGAATCAATACCTGTCATTGATTCTGACCTCCTTTTTTCGAATGTTTGCCTGGTGATCTTGGTGGGGGTTGGGGGTATTTGTGGAATGAATTTGTTCTTTGGCACGACTTCCACATTTTTCTGCACCACACATGACCCCACCATCACCTCCTCTAATCACTTCCTGGTTGTAGCCCCGCCCTCACTGCCGTGCTCACCCCCTTCTTCCTGTCTAGATCCCTCCCACTGTCCACAGGCCTCGCCCCTACATAAAGTCACACATCGTAGCCGTGACGACGGAGGCACGCACAGCCAGGGTGAGCCACTTTGTCTGTTTGGGTCAGTTCGCTCCCATCTGGATGGGCTGCTTGACTCTTTTACACTTCACCAAGGGTTTGTTGACTCCACTGGAAAATATATCTCTGAGTTTTCTTGGTTCTTCTAAACTATAGTATTTCCTCTGTTTTTTTAATTTATTTTTTTTCCTTTTGTTCACTCCTCAACTAACGGTTCACTCACTGTTATTTATGATTGAAATAATTATGATATACAGCAAACACAAGCTGATTAATGCTGGTCATATTTTAATTTTATGTTTTTTTTTAAGCTATTACCTGATTAATTCAATTCAAATTAAATTCAATTAAAATACTTTAATCCTAGAGGGAAATTAAATGTTGTAACTCATCATCCTGGTTTCATTAGAGTTCTTCTAGATGCTGATGCTGTGGGCAGGAAGGATCTCTTGTAGCGTCTGTCCTACAACAGATCTGAAGAAGCCTCTGACTGAAGACACTCTGTTGTTGTATGACAGTCTGATGTTGTATGACAGTCTGTTGTTGTATGACAGTCTGATGTTGTATGACAGTCTGATGAAGAGGATGCTGAGGGTTGTCTACAATGTTCTTCATTTAATGAAGAATCCTTCTTTGAACAATCATCTCCAAAGGTTCTAGAGGAGTCCCCAGAACTGAGCCAGCCTTCTTTATGAGCTTGTTGATCTTTTTGAAGTCACTTGCTCTGGTGCTGCTCCCCCAGCAGATGATGGCAGAAGAGACAGCGCTCTCTACAACAGACTTGTAGAAGATATGCAGCATCTTGCTGCAAACACTGAAGGACTTCCGCTTCCTCAAGAAGTTCATTTTCAGCTGTGTGTGTGTGCGTGCGTGCGTGCGTGTGCGTGCGTGCGTGTGTGTGTGTGAAAGTCTGAGTCGGAGAGATTTATTTGTCATAAACACCACACGTGGTACATGAGGTGGGACAAAACTATGCACACAGGGTCCCAGTTACATCCAACAAAAACACAAATTGTAAAGAAAAGCATTGGTAAGATCCGAGTCATGAACTAAGAATACACTAAGAGCTCATAGTACAAAAACAATGAGCCAAAACAACAGCTGCACGAAAATGAATTTGTGTGAGCAGATGAGGATGAATGAACACAGCAACATGAAATAATCAGCTGCACGAGTTCAACATCATGGATAGTCAGCAGCACATATCAACAACCAAGGGCATCACTGCAATTTTTCAAAGGGATTTTTTTTTTCCTGGTTAGAGATTCATGAGTCTAACAGCCTCAGGGTAGAAGCTGTTCCTCAGCCTGGTGTTTCTGCACTTAATGTTCCTCAGCCTTCTGCCTGAGGGGAGTGGGGCAAAAAGTATGTGTGCTGGGTGAGTGTGGTCCTTCATGATGCAGGTGGCCCTCTTCCTGCATCTGGAGGTGTAGATGTCTGTGATGGTGGGGAGACTGACTCCAACATCTTCTGTGCAGCCTTCACCACTCTCTGCAAAGCTTTTCTTTCTGCAGCTGTGCAGCCTCCATGCCACACGTTGATGCTGGAGCACAGGATGCTCTCCACTGCACACCTGGAGAAGGAGGTGAAAAAGATAGCGAGGGAGAGGGAGAGGGAGACAGAGACAAGAGACTGACAGAGACAGAGAGAGAAAATGTTTTAGATCTATACAAAGAATGAGTCAGGGTTGAAAATTTGCTCATTTTATACGTGCAGATTTATTTTTCGGTTCTGTGTTTTAAGTGTAAGATATTAGTCCCTAAAGGACTATCCTACTTTCCAGGCATGGAGTCCGATCTTTATGTGGATCAGAACCATGGCTTTGTGCATGTTTGTTTGCCACTCTTTGTGAGGATCACTAGAAGACCCTGTCAACATGGAAATGACTTTTCATAAACAGCCAAAGGTTATTTCTCTTTTCAGCCTTGCGTTCACACAAAAAGGTGTTTTAAGAGCCCCCAAAACATTTGTAAAATAAACATCTTGTACAACATGTGTATACTGTACAGTGTTTCCCCTAGATAACTTCCATGGTGGGGTGTTCATCTCGTCCGTGATCTTTTTAGAGGTGGGGGGGGCGCACACGTCTGAGCAGCACGCTGTTTATACCAGCAGTTTTCATGCGTGGGCGGTAGACAGGAAGACAGAGACATAGCTGAGCTGCGCTGTTTGTACTGACAGTTTTAGAGCGGGTGGGAGTGGGGGGGTGGGGGTGGCGAGAGACAGAGACACCGCTGAGCTGCATGCTGCTTGTGCCGAAAGTTTTCGAATGTGGGGGGCGGGGTTCAGCATGAGGGAAGAGGCAGACTGAGCGCTGCCTTTAACTTTTTAGCTAACATGCCTGTATTGTACACCACTAGCTTAGTGCTACATCAGTGTTGACAGGTGGGGGTGCGCGCAGTTCATTTCGGTAGGCGGGGCGCTCGGTTCTGTTGACAGGGCGGGGCTCCCTGCTTGTATAATGGTAGGGGAAACACTGTTGTATGTTTACAATTAAGAAGACTGATTAAGAAGAAATTAAGAAGACTGTTGGAATCAGCCTCCCCACCATCACAGACATCTACACCTCCAGATGCGGGAAGAGGCCCAGATAGCAAACGGACTCCGGACCGGATCCGTTCCGGATCTAGCGTATGCTCTGGAACAGATCCTCATAACTGACTCAAATCTGAGTCCACTTGCACAACGGAATGGATCCGGATCACAGATCCAGATCAGATCTGGTCCAGACCCTACTCGGATCCATTCATTAAGTGCCACATCCGGCCTGAATCCGTTTTGGATCCGTTCATAAACACATCATCTGGCCCGGATTCGTTTTGGATCTGTAGAACACATCATCCGGCCCGGATCCGGTTTTGACCCATTTATGATACTCATATCGGAGGTGGCCTCATTTGGTTCAGAACCTTTATTTATCGTGATTTAATTAACAGAAGTAGATACAGATAAAACTTGACTAACCAGCTACACAAGACTCCATAAAAATCCCACCAGTTTAACACATGAAAATGGTTTGTGAAGCTGCAAAAGACTAAACTTGAGTTATTCTGAGTAAATTTAGTTTTGAGGCTGCACAGTGGTGCAGGTGGTAGCACTGTTGCAGGTGTTACAATCCCAGCCAGGGGTCTTTCTGCATGTGGTTTGCATGTTGAATGAATGTTCTCCCTGTACACTGTAAACACAAAGAAGTTTACAGAACTCAAACGTAGAGGCAATCAATTGCCACAAAATGTTTGAGTTGAGTTTTTTTTCAAAAATTAAATTTCGTTTAGTGCTACTTCTACATTTTGATTCCAGTTTCATTAAAATTGTTCATCAAGTCAGTATATTTTACTCATCACCATTTAAAATTTTTAGTTATATAAACTCAATTTTTTTTTCATTTGTCAAGAATTTAAAGTTTTCACTTTTTTAACCCAGAAAAGTTAGTTAACAGAACTCAAAAATTTAAGTACAAGACGAGACATTTTAAGGTAACAAAACTCAATTTTTATTAGTTTGTTGTCATTGTTTTAAGTACAGAATACTCAAAAATGTTGACTTTGTATTAATCAAAGTACATGAAGCAAAACTTTAAAAAAAATTGAGGCAGTTGATTGCCTTAAATACAAACCGGATTCCAAAAAAGTTGGGACACTAAACAAATTGTGAATAAAAACTGAATGCAATGATGGGGAGATGGCAAATGTCAATATTTTATTCCTAATATAACATAGATGACAGATCAAAAGTTTAATCTGAGCAAATGTAACATTTTAAAGGAAAAATATGTTGATTCAAAATTTCACAGTGTCAACAAATCCCAAAAAAGTTGGGACAAGTAGCAATAAGTGGCTGGAAAAGGAAATTGAGCATATAACAAACAGCTGGAAGACCAATTAACACTAATTAGGTCAATTGATAACATGACTGGGTATAAAAAGAGCTTCTCAGAGTGTCAGTGTCTCTCAGAAGCCAAGATGGTAAGAGGATCACCAATTCCACCATTGTTGCGCAGAAAGATAGTGCAGCAATACCAGAATGGTGTTACCCAGCGTAAAATAGCAAAGACTTTTAAGTTATCATCATCAACCGTGCATAACATCATCAAAAGATTCAGAGAATCTGGAACAATCGCTGTGCGTAAGGGTCAAGGCCGTAAAACTCTACTGGATGCTCGTGATCTCCGGGCCCTTAAACGTCACTGCACCTCAAACAGGAATGCCATGAAATTTGGAAACATTAATTTTTTTTTTTTTTCATTTACCCTTTATTTATCCAGGTTAGTCTCATTGAGCCACGAGAACTCATTTTCAAGAGAGACCTGTTTAGGGAGCACATGGTGGGGGTTGGGGGCCTTGCTCATGGGCCCAGAGTGGGGCGAATGAGGGTGGGGGCAAGTGTGAGTGTTTCACCTACCCCACCCACAATTTTGATGTTGTCGGGGCCGGGGCGTGAACCGGCGATCTTCGGATCACAAGCCCACCTCTCTAACCTCTGCGCCACCACTCCCCCAAAACAACAGATTTTTCCCTTAAAATGATACATTCTCTCAGTTTAAACTTTTGATCTGTGATTTGTGTTCTATTCTGAATAAAATATTAGATGTTGGCACCTCCACATCATTGCATTCAGTTTTTATTCACAATTTGTTTAGTGTCCCAACTTTTTTGGAATCCGGTTTGTACATCGAGTAGAACAAACTTGAAATGACCAAGTTACAAAACATGTTCTACATAACAACTTTTTCTTGGCTTATTTAAAAAAAAAAAAAACTACAATAGATATTGGAAAGGAGGGGAAAAAAGCATGCTAAAACAGGTTGTATCGGAAAAATCCGATACATAAATAATGCTGGTATCGGAGGCCGATACCGGATCGGATCGGCCCCATCCCTGCTTCTGTTGTGACTTGGCGCTATATAAGTAAACTGAATTGAATTGACAACAGAAGTTGTCTCAGGGCACTGAACAAAAACATTCACATAGCATACATTATAAATGCAAACTAGTAAAAGTTATCTATCTAAGGAAGGAAAG